CTAAGTTAATATGACATGTGGTTGTATATGCTCTTTTCTGTGCCCACTAGGAAGGCCAACCAGCAGAAAGTAGATTGGCTGTAATGAACCGACTCCCATTTTTGGTATACAAAGGCGCATGACTTGCACCAAGTCTACTCAGCATAGTCTGTTGTTCAACATGGGTATTTTCTATCGATACCGTTATGAGCGAGATCACCTGGGTCAATTTTATATTGCATCTTATCGCGCTAGCTTCAGAGGTCGTTGATTGCGCGCCTTTTCCTGCTCCATATTGTTCAGATTTTTTGATCTTTTTATAAAGTGGTCTATATATTTTATCGTTAGTCATTGATTTTTCTGCCTGCGCTATTGTGGTGCCTGGATACCAGGCCAAGGTGCTGCTGTTTGGATGTGGAGGTGAGCATCAGGAGCAGAAGAGATTACGATTTTTGGGTTCGAGTAGCTAAAGAATATCTTAAATGTTGTTATGCCCGAAAGTGATACATTTTAAAAATATCGTGACTTTGCGTTGAGTACTTTGTGCGTTGTCGGTTCACCGCCCATTGCCGCTAACATGACCAGACGTGTTTTGAACAGATGATTCCAGTGAGTGCCTGCAGGCAGCAAGTGTGTGGTATTTTCTCACACCCAAAAGATCGCGGACCTGGTCACTTGGCCATGCTTGAGCATTGTTTCAATTTCACTGAATGATTGACGTATTTATTGTTTGTTTTTTTTTGTGGACAGTTGGTTACAAAGGCACACAATATACACCAACACTTCACACACAACTGGCGAGCGAGAAGTTGAAAAAGATGCAGGTAAGCTTATGCGCGCGGTTTGCCTTCCGCATTCTCGCCAATTGTTGACAACCGCGTTGCGACAGGCGAGCGTGCTCTGCCCAACCGAAAGAATCATGTTATTTCCACTAGCCTTAATGAGCACAAAAAGAATATGTTCTGACCGAGCTACTGTTTGTTGAGAGGCGCTTGTCCGCGAAAATTGTGTTAGGGTGTGAGTGGTGATCATAGTTTGGGGTTGTCTAAACGTAAGTGCATGGTGTTTATAGTGTATTGGGCCATGTTGTGTACGAGGTTTGTGTTTGTGGTGTTTTGAAAGACTGGATTTAGGGTTAGGTCTAGTGTGAAATTCTTTTTAATTATACTTTGTGCTATGATGTTCCTGATGAGAGAATCTTTATTTGTGTAATCCTTGAAGGTGTCTAAAAACTATAATTCGCAGTGTATGCTAGAAACGTGCTGGTTGGGCCAGAAGAGGAGGAAGAGAGAATGAGTAGAGAAGAGATAGAGTGGGAGAGAGTGTGAAAGGAGGGAAATGCTGCCATGTTTTTTAAATTTGGTGGCGTGTGGAAGAGGGTGTCCCATTCTATGCTTCATTGTTGACAGGACCATGTTGTCAATGGATTGAAGATTGGCAACTGCCGAGTCCTTTCTTGTCCTACTGTGCCTTTGGCTCCCAAGTTATGTGTATTTATTCGGACTTATTGGAGGAATCAGAATAAGCTGGATTGCTAGGTTGCTTTCTCTTTTAGTTTTTTTATTTTTAGAGTATCGAGGGAGATAGAATAGCGGTTTTATCCTAAAAAGACATTATCGAGAACAGCGCGAGTTCTCATTTGAGCTGGCATTTCGTTAGAGTTGAAAATGCTAACCGATTATATCAAGGTCGATGACAGGGTATCATACTAATTCTAGATCAACGAATGATAGAATTATGGTATAGCTGTTCCCGTGAGATGGTCTAGAGCGCCAAGAGATGTGAAAAGCACAATACCCTAGATCTATATGATACGAGAGAGAGAGCGAGAGAAAAACCTATCGTCAGCGTTGGACCTACTAATTAGTTAAAATGAGCTGATAAAATGTTTCCTAATGAGTAATCAGGTAAATAATTGTTGATCAATAATAGTTTTCTATACAAAGGTGTTACACACACGGTTTGTTTCCACCTAGCTTGTACATGAAATTTATGGTCTGACCTGTTTAATAGGGAATGCAGTAAAATAACGCTAGTGTGAATTTGAGAAGGAAAAATTAAGAATTAAATATTGAATTAATTATATATATATATATTAAAAAAAAAATAAAGAATATAAAAAAAAATAAAAAAATCAAGATAGAAAAAAGAAAAGGAAAAGGGAAGAGTTTTGTTGTTTTTGTGTTTGGTTGCGTTGCTTCTCAAATCCTGGTTGGTGGTGGTTGGGGTTGGGAGTGTTTGTTTTCCGTCCCCAAAACCCTGGACTCAGAGGATTGTGCCCAAGGCAATGAGGGTCATGGATATGAGTATGTGTTGGTTTGGTGTGTTGATTATCAAAAAGGTAGAGTTGATAGGTGACTGCACGCTGCTGGACCTGGTTGGTCCTGCTGAATGGGACTTTTGAGACTTTCAATTTATTGTCTATCTATTTTTCACTTGATTATATACAGTGGTAGAGAAATATAGCATCTCATAACTTGGAATTGGAAGGAAGAAAGCTAAAACATTTTTCAATGGGAGGTTTAGTTATTTGAAGTGTTTGGATGGATTGGAGTATTACTATAATAAGTAACCAAAGTTGGAGTCATTCACAGTTACTTTGGTCATGCTCCTGATAGGTTCACTACTACCTACACCAGCATCCACACGTACATGTTTTGGTTGCATCATTATTTAATACTATGGTGTGAATATTTGTTACTGTATATGGCAGCTTTCTAAACAACATGGATAACTACGACCTAGATTAGCCCTACTACATCTAACAAAGCATGTTCCTTGTCGTTAATCAGATGATTCGACGTCTCTTCTCCACACACACACACCGACACGTACAGCAGACACGAGTTCAGTGTGCTCAGGTCCTGCATGCTGTAATTGGTGTCCTTGACCGTCCAGTCCTGATGATCTCGCTTGATTTTGCATTTGGGGTGGCGTCCAGCCCAGGTGTAATGTCACCAGGGGCAATACTTTCCCAGCGGGGTCTCCCCTAGGCGCGAGGGGTAAGGGCACCTGCCTCGGGGCGTATTTATGTGAAAGGAGCGCACTTCTCCCGGTGGAGATCAGCCAGTTGAGCGGTGAGGTGGTATGAAAACGAGACCTGGAGGGGAGGACAGGATGTGATACTTCTTTTAGACTCCCAGGGAAACAGTGTCAGATTCAATAAGAACTTGCATTTAAATCCAAGTCCAGTACAAAGCTACAGAAGATAATTTTGTTGTTCGTTACAAAATAATATTTTGATGTAAAGTCTGGGATAATTATGTGCTAAATAGTGAGAGAAATCATTGTGCGGTAGTATGGTTTGGGTGGTTGTTTTTAAATTGAATGGCTACTGTTTTTGTGGTATTATTGGCTTTATAGTGTTTGAAAAGGTCTAGATGTGTTGAGCAAGTATGGTATGTTGGATAATTTTGAGGAGTTTCTGCGAAGGTTAAAGTATTAATGAGAGTAGTTAATATCATTTTTTATGCCCCGAGAGCCATTAGTAGAGAGGTCAGTGAACTTTTCGTTTGGGCTTTAAGTGTCGGTGGGTCAAAGGTATCTACTAATAATAGGTTGTGTTTCAGTAACAGAGCTTTTTCCATGAGAGAAGTTGAATTGTTTTGTTTAGTTATATAGGTTGTAAGTGTTTTTATGATTGGAAGGATGTACGTCTTAATATGATGAAGAATAAGACTTATATTATTTCTTTCTTAAACAATGAAGTGCAGTACGTATTTTTATACTCCAATACATACGCAGCATATTTGTGAGCAAGGACACTTATATAGAGAGCTAACTGAACATAGGTTGGTTATGGGTTACTTTGGTGGGATTATACATAGCATTAGTTTTCTTTTTAACCATATTGGCCCCAACTAAAATTGGGCATATTATAAATGAGTTTTTTTTGTGTGTTTTATGTGTGCTTACTAGGGTTTTTGTATAATTGAAAGTTTTATATCGGTGGCATAATCTAGGTTATTTTGTTTTTTTTCGGCTCTAGCAGATACTATGGCCGTCCTCGGTGGCTAACTTCCTTGCTGTGCGTTGTGTGTCGTATTTTTTTGTGTAAGCTGTAATTTCATTGGCATTTTGATGCAAATCCAAATGACGAATAAAGTCTAAGTCTAACAGTCAATGATAGCAATCAGCAAATGGCTGTGTGCTTGTAGCCTGCGAGGAGATTGAAAGATAAGACATTGGATCCAGTTTGTTCCAGATGTATAGAAATTATGGTTTGTATCTCTCTCCCTACTAACATCATCCGATACATATCTACATACACGAGCTACCATACGATTCAGAGACGATGCGTTTAAATACGGAACGACTCGATACAATGCGATCTGATACAGTTCTGAGTTTCGTATCTTTACACCGCCTATAAAAACTGGTATCGCAGGTGGATTTTGACAATATGGAGCGGACGAAGCTCAAACTCTTTAGACATTATGGCTAAATCCAAGCGCTTTCCCGTCGCTACGGCAACCCTGTGTGTCAGTACGTCCACTAACCGGGTGCTATGGTGATGACCCGGATGCCCATGGGCGCCAGATCTCGTGCGATGGGGAGGGTCATTCCAACAATGCCTCCTTTAGAAGCTGAATACGCTGCTTGTCCGACCTGAAGAGGACAAACAAACAAATAAATAAACAGAACGACAACTCAACCGTTTCTTTAACGTCTGAGAGCGTTTTCAGTCACCTGTCCGTCAAAGGCCGCCACGCTGGCCGTGTTAATGACGCAGCCTCTGTGTCCGTCTGCGTCGGGCTCGTTCTTCCCCATCTCGCCCACGGCGAGGCGGATCACGTTGAAGGTTCCTGCGATGTTCACCTGCAGGAAACAAAGAGAGAAGAGTCACTGCAGCTGCGTCCGCCGTTTGTCTCGTTCTACCGTACGCGTCCGTCCACCTTACGTTGATAACTCGCTGGAAGTCCTCCAGGTTGTGAGCGAGGTCCTTCTTGAAGTTGTAGGTTTTAATGGCGACAGCGACGCCGGCACAATTAACCGCCAGGTCCAGCTTCCCGAACTTCTCCCTCGCCAGGGACACCGCCGACTGCACGTCTGCCTCCGACGTCACCTAGGAAACCACAAACCATAAGATAAATACAACCATCCACAGAAACACCACGAAATACCTTCTGATGGGTCAGACGTCTGCTCCGGTGGGCGGAGCCGTGTGGAGGGGAAGATCACAAACTTATAATCTGTTTCTGTGACGACCAGCATGCTTACTTGTGATTCATTACAATAGTTCAGCTACAAACTCCGACACAGATCAGGTGAGAAGCAGCAGAATTATTTTATTACTTCTATTTGGAGTTTGGTGGGTGTTAACGTTGGACTGTAACCGTAATACAGGTGTAAATGCACCAAAAGATACAATGAAGAAGACTTTTTTTTTGTTTATTTCGCAGGCAAGTCAGGAAACTAGAGGATAACTTAGAACTGATAACACACTCGTGGTGGTGCTGGATGATGTGAGAGCGCCCTCTAGTGTACTACACCTCCAGTTACAGCAGCATAAACTCATGTCACTTCAGTTCTGAGGTCTTCACACCGGCTTCCTGTCTGTCAAAGAACTGATTAAAATGCTGCTGTTGGTTTATAAAGAACACCCTCAGGTCTGTTTTCTGTCCCCCAAAGTAAAAACCCAACATTCAGAGGCGGCTTTTAGTTTCCAGAACCAACAATGAGTCCAGATCTGCTGTGTCTGCTGAGTTTGGGACTCACGTCTGCAGGAGCGAAGGCACAGCGGTCCCCCAGACTGGCTGCCAGAGCCGGTCCATCAGAAGAAGGCAGGTCCAGGATCACAGCAGACGCTCCGTTCTGCACCAGACGCTCCACCGTGGCCCGGCCCAGACCCGACGCACCGCCCGTCACCAGGCCAACCATACCCTACACACACACACACACACACACACACACACACACAGGGACATTTTTATATCATTGTCTGCTGCATCGGCTCAAACTGCCTCGAGCTGGAATGAGCCAGAAACTTGAAACCGGCCCGATAAGTGGAGACGACGTCTGTGTGCTTCTCAAGAAATATGAGCTGAATCGACCACATGGTGGCGCTGTAATTAAGACCACAGCCCTCATACAGCCACTGCTCTGATCGGAGCTGGAAAATATATTCTACTAACTGAGCCACACCACTTCCAACCACAGGGAAACCTCACATGGGCTCATATAACAATAATAATAATAATAATAACAATAATAATAACATTAATAATAACATTAATAATAATAATTAATAACGTATAACAATAATAAAATAAGTAAGGTAGGACGGAGTCCATAATATTATAATAATAATAATAAATAATAACATTAATAATATAATAAAATAATCATATAATAATAAGTAATAAATAATAATAGGAGGAGTCCATAATATTAATAACAATCATGGAGAATAATAATAAATTAAAATATAAATAGATAATAATAATAATAAAAATAGTAGGGACAAATAATAAGTGAATAAATATAATGGATAATGAGGGGAATGCGAATGATATAAGTAGGCAGAGGAAGGAGGGTGCCAGTAATAATAACATTTGGAGAGGTGAAAATAAATAATAATAGAGTAATAATAGTGGATGATTGGGGGGAACAATAAATCAATATAAATAACAATTAATAAATAATAATAATATTACTAATATTATTAATAATAATAATAATAATTAATAAGCATTAATAATAAGTAATATAATTAAATAATAATAACAATTAAATAAATAAAGATAAATAACATTAATAATATAATAACATAATAATCAATAATAACATTACATAATATAATAAAGTAATGAGATGAAAATAATGAGGACTAATAAGGTAGAGCACAATAATAATATGGGATAATAATAATTAAAATAATACATTTAAGAATATAATAATAATAGATAATAATAGAAGGAGTCCATAATAATAACCAATAATAATATTATTAACCAAATAATAAATAATAATAAATTTATTATAATAATAGATATTAATATATTATAATATAAATATATAATAATATAATAATAACATTAATAATAATAATAATCAATAATAATAACATTAATAATATAATAATAATGTATTAATAAGTATTATTATTATTACTGTATAGATAACTAATGAATAATAATAATCACGTTAATAATAATCACATACTTAATAATAAATATAATATTATTATTATCAAGGAAATAATAATAATAACATAATAATTAATAACCATTCAATCAGAATAATAATACATAATAATAATCAATCAATATTGACTTAACGAAAATCCAGTAAATAATAAAAAGTGAATATGGTGAAGAATATTAATTCAATAATAGAGACCAAAGATGGCATAAGGGAATGAGAGAGAGTATAGGGGGAGGAGAGTCGCAGTAATGGAACGAGACCAGGTAACGTAAGTACACGGATAATGGACGAATGGAATACATAACTAGGAGTGGAGAGGGGGGAGGAGCGAGGGAAGGTAAATGAGTTAATAATAACATTAATAATATAGGAGGTAATGCGACGGGATAATAATAATTAAATAATAGATAGGGAGGAGTCCATAATAATAACCATTCGAAGTAATAATATAGTAGGATATATGAGGATCAAGTAATAATAATAATAAGGACGGGATCCATAATAATAGACATTAAAGAGGGAATAAAATAAATAGATGAGGGATTAAATTAATAATAATAATGAATGACCAGGAGTCCATGTGCGATAGTCAAGGAGAGCCGGAATAAGAGGGTAAGAGGATAGGTTTTCGGGCTTTAACAGATGAGCAAGATGTAGAGGGGAGCCAGCAGCCCGCCCAATCACTCTATTATCTTGGGAGAAGCCTGATAGAGGGTGCCTGCGCGAGGAGGGCTGAACCCATTGAGCCTTCCGTCCCCAGATTCAAAGCGAAGGCTCCGTGCGGACGACAAGGACTTCTTCTTATGGTGGGAGAGCTGGCGGCGCCGAGGAGAGGAGCGAAGTGCCAGCAGAGTGAGTGAGGTGTGTGTTGCGGGCATTACACGACCCTTCATCAGTCCTGCTGTGGCCGGAGATTAGGGGAGTGGTACGAGAGGCGAGTCTGGTTGCGGGCGTGTGCGTGCGACCGAGTGTGACGCGTCGGAGAGGTGGGTCGCGCAGGGGGGTTGCGATCTGCTGGTAACAGGGGGGGGGAGGGCACTGAACGCTCACAGCCAACGCGTGGTTCTATGCGGCGAGGCCGGGTGATCTTCTTCGTGGGTTTTTTCGGTGCGCGCACCAAACGGAGGAGGGCCGTTAACCCGGGGGGGGGGGGGGACGGCGCGACGCTGGGACAGGAGTGTGTAATCGCGGACGGGGGGGGTCTGTATTTAGATTGAAATTCATTATTGAAAGTAGTTGTAGGGGTGGGGGGGGGTAGTTATGGGTTGGAGTATGTGTATGGGTGAGGAGGAGAGAGAGAGTTTAATTGTAACTGGGGTATCGGGTGGGGGTATGAGGAGTTAGTGGGTGTAGTTTTATGTACTTGTATTTTAAAGTTAGTGGGGTGTGCTAAAGCCTGAGGAGGTTGACATTGGGATTGAGTGTTGTTATTGGAGGAGAGGAAGGAGGAAGGCAGCGTGAGGTAAAGCAGACGAGTGGCTTAGGAGGAGAGGGGTTTTACAATGTGTTTTTATAAATCGGGTATCAGACGAGGACAAATGAAACAAAAGAGTAATATAAAAAGTGTTGGTGTGTAGGACATAGAGGAAGGACGGGCCCTAATCAAGTTTTCCATTATATCTTGTATTTTTTTTTTGAAATATTTTATTAATTGTTATTAATGTTTTATTTGTCAACCAAAGTGTAACATCCCCCCAGTGCTGGCGATAGAACACAACAATATCACATTAGTAGCGAAACCTGATCCGATTGTGACCAGTGAGTGAAAGACACGACACAACAGGCAGTAAGGGAGGTCGTTTTGATCCTCCAGGAAGCAATACAATTGTATGATACTGCTGCATTATTCTATACTTATATATAACATTAGAATGGTTTAGATAGGTTTATCATGATTCATATTAACATTATTACCCTGTTATGGGCATATACAAATTATTGTGGGTTTGGTGAGCATCATATATGTTTCATCAATACAACATTCAGATTTGTGGATGTAGTCGCGAATGATATGGGAGGGCCTCTCTATGCACCGATAGGCGAAAACAAGAAATGAGTGGAGTGGAGGTTGCGTGTTTTCTATAATGTGGGGTGGTGGCTCGACAGGCGTGAAACCGGTATTGTAGATAGGTGGGGATGGGAGTAGGTACTTATTTTAGTGAGTGGTGAATGAAAATAATGAAAATACAGAAAACTGTAATGAGGATCACATACTTATTGATCTGCCTGGGGGGAAATTATGTTGGCATTAGCAGTCTGGCTAAAAACAAAGACATTGATTTATATTGCGGGC